GCCTAAAGAACACCTGGGCAGGGGTGGCAGAAGTCGAGTGGAGACAGAACTCTCTCTGTTTCAGAGAGCCAAGAATATTAGGACATATGAAGTGACATGTGGCTTTAAAATGTTATTTTATTTCAGAGGAATTCTCTTGACTAAATCTCCCACAGTGACCTATACGTATATTCTCAAATGCCTGCCTGAAGGAAGTGTTCCAAAGTGTCCCCCATGGAGTTGCTTTGCAGTAGATGTTACATTATCTCAGGATAATAGAAACAAATTCTATCATGAATGTCATTCCTAGTTCAATATTAATCTTTAAAAAAAGTTTTCATGAGATGGCTAGAAATAAAAGAATTGGACATCTGAAGTTAAGTGTGATATTACCTATGCTATATGCATATTTAATTTTGAATGTTACGCTCACTGTTTTCTTCTCATATTTTTTACATAATGTATGATTTGGAGGCATATAAATAATTATATCCTGTTTAAAGTAGATGAAATGGAATTCCCCTGTGTGAATGCAGAACAGTGATTATAGCATTGTGTTGTGAATCTAAACTTGCTCCACCATGTCCGTTAGTCCCTCTCCTGTTTTGTGTCAAAAATTGAATTTTCAGTTTCTCTATATTATCTACATGTTGTTATAAAATACGTGAAGCCGTATAATATATATTCAGTATATAATCAGTCTGATCCTCACTGTCATGTACCAAGTCCACTAATAAATTATGAGATGATTAAATAATCTGGTTTTCTTTCTGCAGGAGCATTAGAAAGTCAATTTATTCCTACTGTCACTACAACTTCTTGATTCACTATATTCCTAGTCCCTTCAACATCTAAAAGGGGGAAAATAATTTCTGGATTTGCTGTTAAGGATGACATTGCCAAAACACCAGAAAATAGCAGAATCTAATGCACCATGGTCCAGGCCCCAACCTTGGCTCTACCACCTCCATCATATGTAAGCATAACTAGTCTTTTTGCACCTTAATTTTATCATCTGTAAAAAGAATGATAACAGAATTTATGCTAAGTTTATTGCCAGGATGATGTGAGGATGTAAAGAGCTTAAACTCCTGTCTAACTTATGTAGTACTCAATAGTTCTAACCATTATTAGTATTTTATTAAAAATAATTTAAATTTTATGTCATATTATTATAAAGATTCATATTATTTGTTTTCAGGGATAATCTTTCAATCTTATCATCTTTATCATCATTACAGTTATAGTGCTTTTATCATTTAATAATTCCATAATTAATTCACCTATTTTTGACGGACAATACAGTGTCATTTTAGAATGGAATATGTAGTAGGGCAGCTTGGATTTGAAATGTGGCTACTATTTGCTAACTGTTGACTTTGGCATGTTCTTTAATCTGTCTAAATCTAAATTCATTTTCTACAAGCATCAGAAAAAAAAATAGTTTTCCTCACAGGGAGGTCACAGTAATTTAACAAGATAATATGTAAATGGGTTATTACTGGATCTGGCATATTTTTGATGATTATTTCCTTTCATTGTAGTTTATTTAAAATTAATCATTTAATGTCAAATAGAGTTAATCTCGAATCAGCACATGTTTTTTAATCAACCTCTCATTTTCATTTCTTCTTTTCCATTCCCAAGGGCAGTCATCTCCAACTTGGCAATTGCTTCCAAATTTACACAGTTTGGAGGGTAGATTTACTTTGATTACACCGTTATTTTACCGAATCATTCCTTATTCTTGCTCAGAATCCTACAACATCCTTGTAAAAATCATGCTATCACCAAAATTCAAAGGATTTGCCTTTAGGATCTACAAAAAAAATTTACAATTTTTATGCACTTGATTTTTTGAAAAAGGTAAGGGATGCTTTATTGAGAAATATTCTTTTGGGAATTTGCTATTAGAGACTGACTTTAAAATAAACCACAGATATGCAGGTAAACAGAGAGAATATTGATAGCCATGCTATTTTGAATTTAAAATCCACATTCATAACTTTGCAATGATCTGACCCTAGTTCACTCTGTTCTCACTCACACAAGGTTGTTTAAGACCCTTAGCTGTCTGGTATTAGAAGGTTTCCTGAGTGGCTACCCTCAGAATTTGAATTACTCCTAATGGACAAATGTAATTGTCAGTAAAATGAGAATGTTGACATAGAATTGAGAAAAGTTTTTAAAATTGATGTGATCATTAAATAATATAGAAAGTATGGTATGTGATTAATTATTAAAAAAAAACTTTTCAAAGAAAGTTGAATGAATTCAGTAGCCGGGAGATAATTAAGTACAGATTTTAGACAATTTTTTTCTGGTTAATTCAAAATGAAAAATATATTTCTTCCAAATTACTAGTATTAGACATTTCAAAAGAAATTGATATGGAAAGAAGGTAAATACTTATTTTTTATGGCTTTGATTATCTAATGATTTTCCTTCTATAATTCAATTTGCATGAGGAAATAACCTGACAGAGGCAATTTAGAGACAAATTGGAGCCTGGCATGGTGGTTATTTGTGAGAACTTAGGAATTAAATATTTTTAATAAAGTAGAAAAACACACAGGGAAATGGAAGTATTAGATGGTTAAAATACAATTACAAATCACTTTTAAATGTCTT